CTATGACGAGGAAACTTTATTAATAATAATGGATAGGCGCTTACAAATACATATGCTAGTGTTTGGTCTCGAGCTTCTCCTCCGATTTGTGGCGTGCGCCTTGATGTTGTCACACAAAGTTTTACGCCGACTCTGAACGGCGATTGTATTTTTATGAGAAGCTGTTTTTTCATGGCAGAAAAATCGGTGTTAAGAAAAAACCATTTTTCTATATTTTTGCGATGTACTTTGACCAGTGTTTGAACCCAGGCCCTGCTAGGTGGTAGCGAGCACTGCTAACCGAGGAAGGCCGAGGAAACTATGAAACATATGGTTTGCCAGTGTCCAGCTTATATCATGCAAAGACTCGCCTTACTCGACAAGGTACAGCTGCAGGGCTTACAGTCAGCAATCCACAAAGGACTAAAGTATCTACTAAAATTTGGTAAAGAAACGGTAATGTTCTTCAACATTCGATGAATGCATTGATTCATGGCAACACTGTGAACGTTAACTTCGTCTATGTGAGACTCCTTATGAGCATTCAGTATACATATTCTAACTTATCCAAGAAATAAAGCGGGTGTGCCCAAAAGTATGCAATGAGAAAGCCAGAAACACTATGGAGAATGTTCAGGGGCAGGTAATGAATGCCCCTATGGAAATATTGCATATTTTTATACCGGCATGTTATTCAATTTTTTTTTTTTTCATTCAAAATTATAGCATGGATTTCTAGAAATTCACTGCAGATCAATCAGTAAATACTTAAAGTGCCTTAAAAAGGCTAGGAAATGGATGGGAAAAAGCCAATTGATGCCCTCAGAACTGTATGAGCCGAAATATTTACTATAGATGCAACGTAGTACGAAACAACAGTTAGGCTGCCGTCCTCCATGCAGAACAACACTTATAGTGAAGGCAGAAATGCAAACAAAGTGTAATTGCTACATACTTAATCTTCACTAAATGTTTTTTAACGGAACTAAAATGCCTGATGCTTTTGAAATGTTCACCAGGTATACCGGGAAATCCCAATTATAGTATCTGGAAGCTTTGTGGTTTTTATTATTTCTAATTTTGCATTCATGGCTTTCTTTTTTTCCATAGCTTTTGTACTGTTTTATGTTTGCGAAGCACCAGCGGTATGCTCCACTTTACGAAATACACTCTGTATCTTCTTTACCCATTCACCGCACCAGAAATGCAAAACAAGTCTTTCAATAATAAAAATGTTAGAGTGCAACAACTACTAAATATATACAGTAAGTGTTTGCCGACTTGGTTACAACTTTTGAATGCCTAAGTGGAACATTTGCATGCAAAAGGTCACAGAGGGTTGGTAGCTGAAAGACAGTAGAAAAGGAGTAAAAAAGCTCAGATAAGTTAGCAACGAAAAGCGACAAAAGCAAGATATGGACAACTTGCTGAAAAATTAAAATAAAAATTCGTTTAATGGTGCAGAAATACTTGATCTACATACTTTGTCTCCGTATGTCGAACGATTACGATTACTGCCATCGGATACGCGCATAAATGTAATTGTGCGAATGTGCACATCCAAAATTGTACATAAAATTCAGAATAAGCTGGTTGAGCATACTACCGAGAAGGAAGCGAAAATAAACGATTTATTTAATAGCGGTAGGGCGCCATATTGTTTGTGCGGTTTGACATACTTAAAAACAAGCAGAAGTATATTTATAGAATAGAAATGCGGCTTTACTTGCGCGTACATTTATTTGCTTCCAACTCAACTCAATGGAAAGTTTGTGCTACAAATCTTTCTGAAGAAATATTCTATTACATAAGCAAAAAGACAGCTAGAGAGCATTTGCGCTTATAATACGGAACGGAAAATCAACATCTCGTAATCGCAAACGGAATAAAACTTTGTGAAGGAAAGTTGCAATTATTTAACAAACGAGTTTGCTTTGTTGGAAAATAAAATAAGGTTAATGTAACATTTGTTATTAATTATTAATTTTAAATTACTTTACGTTTTTCTTATTTTATTTTAGTAATTTGGAGTGGTTAGTTTACTTGAGCGTAAGATGACGTAAACATAAATGGATAAAAGAAATAAAAAGAAAAAGCAAATACCTGTGCCAGCTTTTAATACTAACTTTTGCAATTTTGAACAATATTTTCGGCTCTTTAGAGAACCGTAGTAGGCATTTTGGGCCTTTTCCTGTACTCTGTCTAAGCCTACCACATAGCCTTTCTTCACCGAGAAAGCTAATTTTTCCCTCATAGAAAATTTTGTAGGCACACTGTACGTGCACGCATTCATCTTCCATATTGGGATTCCTGCACTTTTTGTTTGCCACTTGGTGCGATCTCCTTTCGGGAGATAGCATTAAGCTTGTGTTTTCTTCTAAACCTTACGGTCCAAGATTTTTTGCAAAAAATACTACCGATATAATTTATCATTTCGCGAATGAGAGGGCGAAAAGTTTGAAAAGGGTTAAGAAAAACTTGCTTTTTTATATAAAGATGTATAACTTATTTATTTAATTAACACATAGTTCTTGATTTTAAATCCAGGTTCTTCTTTAATTACGAAAAAAATTCATACTATATGTATCTGACATATCGTACTGTATTTTTGATTGGTTGTTAGTTCTGAAATAACTTCAATCAGCTCAATAAATGCATTGTTTTACTACGAATCACCCGACTTTAAGATACAAACAGCTGCGGAGAAGTTCCTACGACATGTTTTCTATTCGCGATTTAAATCTTGCAGTGTGAAAGTCTACATATTTCCATTCTGTCCATTCAATTCTAATTGAAGATTTTTATTACAGCATCGAGGCCGTAGATTCTGGAGGATCGTAAGTCGTTCTACCTAATGTAGGCTTTAACTAGTGAAAGCATCTCTCAGTGAGAGGGTTACAATGAGGTGAGGTGAGGTTTACAATTTTTGGGCAAAATTGATAAAGTATGTTGAATTTTCATAATTTGTGTACGAAGTTTGAAATATGTATTTATGTGGCGCTGGTTAGGTAAAGTGTTAAATTTTTATAAAATATATATAAAAAAATATAAACATTAAACAAGCGAAAGAAAAATAGCCAAAACTAGTCAAAATGTCACTTGACTTAATCAGCTGGCAACAAGTGTATAAGAACAATTCGAGTCTACTCTCTTCAAACTTGTATTTTTTTCTTCTGCTATTAATGTATGTACTCCCACTCCATTGACTAGTGCACCCTGAAAATTCATGAAAGGAAGGAGTGGGAAGACCTTTTTATTAATGGAAAGCATTTGCTCAACATTTCGACATCTAAGTGGCGCTGCCAAAACATTTGACACATTTGACGCATTCGTAGAAATATGAGTAGAGCATAAGAAGCTAAGGTGAGCCGGGAGTTAAACTGTGTATAAATAAGTCTCTATACAAGCACTTGTATTTGACTATTTTAAGCATTTATCACAAAATTCACAGTGCGTTGTGGGCGTTGGCGAAACAGCGCCAGAGGCTTCAGCACGTGCAGTTTGGTAGACAGTGTTTTTTTTTTTATATATGAACAAAAAAATGCAAAAGGAAAGTCCAAACACAACAAAAATAAGAACTTTACGATAATCAATAGAAAAAAAATACAATTTCGCACAAAAAACTTGGGGTTACATGCACAATAAAATCATGCTAGCTTCGGTGAAATGAGAGTGTGAAGAGATTTAAGCCAAAATAATGTACATATTCAGCGCTAAAATTTGTCTTAGTAGAGACTCTTCCAAAAAGCTATTATTACTTTCCAGTGTAGTGCAGTATGTATCTGGCAAATGTAGGTAAAAATTGCGTAGACGGGGTTATAATCAGTGCTACGAAATCCTTAATGAAATTAATGCAAACCGCTAATGGGCAGATTCTAGGATCTTGGGATGGATGTACACCACAATTGTCCAATCACAGTGGTTAGCGCTGGAGATAATTTTCGAAACTATGTACATACATATATACTAAATCCTTACTTAATATTAAAAATCGACGGCCGAGTGGAGGATCGAACTATCTCCGCAACCAGTTCGAAAACGCCTTATCTCACAAAAAAAAAATTACAAGAACGCCCTATTTCAGAACTTGTTTGAAGAACGCCCTTTCTCAGAATTCGGTTTAAAAATGCTCTATCTCAACATATTTTCAATATATTTTCAGTTGAGATAAGGCGTTTTTGAACCGAATTCTGAGATAGGGCTTTGGCGAACCGGCTGCAGAATTAGGTCGATCTTCCACTTAGCCGTCGAAATGCGAAAGAAACTCAGTTTGTTTATCACGTCACGCTTTCCCGCTTTAACAACTCAATTGATCATCATGAAATTTTTCACACTGATGTCATTTAGTCCAACTTTAAACATAGGAAAGTTTTTATTCTGTTGGGTATGGAGATTTGCAAAAGCAATTTCATACTCATGGAGGAGGACGGCTACCAAAAATTAAATTCAACTAGAACTAAGGGAATTATTTATTTGAAATTTGTATTACAACATGGGTTAAAAAGTTTGGGTTTATAGTATAAGCTATAAGCTGTTCATTGTGAAAGGATATCACACATCTCAACTTTTCCTCTACCCTATTGAAGTGCTTCAACGCTAAATTGAAACTCAGGAATATTGTGTGATGGCTGTCAGGTTGTTAAAAATATCTACTCGCTAAAACGTTATTGGTATTGTGACAGCTGTCAATTACCACGCAGCAAAAGCACAATCAATGTTGTCATTCTTCAAGCACGCGCATAACCCAACTGCTTGTTTGAGGCATTTTCCACAGCTGCTAGGCCAATTTAGTGTGACTAAAAATAAAAGTGTTGCATATAATTTGCCATCATTTTGTTTGGGTTTAAATTAGTGAATGCGTGTTTTTAGTGAAAGGTAAATTACACTTGCGAGTTTCACATTATCCTTCCCGTTTGTGCCTGTCGTTGACATTCAAATGGGTCTAATTTTTAGCTCAATTATTATTAAATTAAATAAATAGTTTTATTTGAATACTTAAGTATAAATGGTGTTGTACTCACTTTCAACGGTGAATTGTACGGCAACGATTGGCTGTACATAGCCTTCGATATTTTTGAATGGGAAATAGTAGCCGGGGAAACCCATGCGTGGATAGTAATCACGTGATTTAATATTTTCCACATCAGCAGGATTTTCACCTTCGCACGAGATCCAAACGACATTGGTCTGTAAAGAAAAAAGGGAGAATGAGGGAACAAAAAATGTATTAGGATAAGCAGTAATTCCCAGAGTAATAGATAAATATGGTGTAAAAAATAAATAAGCAAGTTTACAGAAATAAGAAAAATTCCCGACCTGCGACATTTTAACATGTCTTCTGATCTAAAATTTTTCGTAATTTCGATCTTCTGCGTAGGACAGTGCCACTGTCCAGCGTAAGATGTATAGTTGGTAGTGGGCGTTGCAGCGTTCTTTTATTCTTTCTCTGGATGGTCGTAGTGAACGACGTCCTGGAGGAGCTCTACAGGAGATTTCGGGTTATCGTCTTCACTTACAACGTGGCATTTATTGTCTGGGGTAAGTTTCTAAGTATACTGAATGATCTCATGCAGGGGTGCTCAAATTTAGCCACCAACTGTGATATTAACAGCCAAATGCCCAGCTTGTCTTCCGCGGCGGCTTTCCACTTGTACTCTCTGTTAGTGTCAAGCATTTTATTGTGAAAGCGGCCTCTTTAAGGCAACTGACTGGCTGTATTTACCATAATAAAGACCATTATATTGGATTGGATCATCGTCTGGTGGAGTTCAGTAGAAAAATCTACATCGATTACGAGGTTCGTGCGCGAGCAGAGAGCAGCCCTTTTTGGAATCAGCGGGACTACTTAGGCTGTACTGCTCAACGCTATGCTTATCGTCGTAGCCGTACACATTGTATGTAAGGCTCACGCAGTCTGCTCCTTCATTAGGGCAAGAATGATAAATTTTATTTTTCAATCTGTCGTTTGAGAGGCCAGAAATCTATGGTAACTTCGACTTCATATACAAAGTAACTGGTCAGTGCGCACAGCGTACACATTCTTCGAAGGGGTATGATATGCATATGTATGCGGCATTCTTCGTTAACTATAGCCCCAGTCTCCAAAATTGTTTCAGGTAAAAAAAAAATCGGTATAAATATTTACTTTTAAATGATGAGTGGGTTTTTGATAAATCATTCATCCTCCCTCCATATTAGTTCAGGTAAAAAACTGGTTACCTGAATCAATTTTGTAGAAGATGGATGAATTACCAAAACTTTATTCGCGGTTTTACTTATTATTATATGTACGGTGACCATCCGTTCTGTTTTTTGCAGGACCGTACTGTTTTTCAAAGGTCGGTCCTGCGTAGTTTTTCAAACCTGAAAAACCTGAAAATGTACTGATTTTTTCCAAGTGTCCTGCATTTGTCCCGCATTTTATTCGTTATTTTAAAATTATCGGATAATGGATGGATTTTTTCAAAAAAGTGTTTTTTGTTACTTTTCTTAGCTTTTCTTCAATATCTCATGAAAAAATCTCCAAAATAACGTAAGCGACTTACAGCTCGAAGGGTATTGATGTGCCTCTTATCAAAATATATAACTTGTGGCGACTTCAATGAAAATTATTAGTGCTACAGGCGAAAAAAGTGAGATTTTCAATCAAATACGCAGATTCATTTGATTATTATTTTTTCATTATTTAAAACATTCGTAAACTTTAAGCCAAAGATAATGAAAATCGGATCAGAAATGTAAATGCTATGGAGCGCAATCTGCACAAATTATTTTTTTTGTAAAGGGCACTTTGTAACTCGTCGTTTACGTCGATTCATGACGTCGATTTTTGACAAATAACTGCGAAAAGTACTAAAAAAACAAAAAAAAAAGGGGGGTATTGTTTTCGTTTTGAGCGACTCAAAATTTGCCTATAAAATAATCTTTTAAAGATTTTAACTTCTCGTGTAAGCTATTGTAATTATAATATGTTTTACTATACTTTTATAAATATTCATGTAAAAAAAGATTAATATCAATGAAGAAAACGTGATTCATTTTTAAAGTTTAAAATGTATTAAGAATTTAGAATCATAAATACTCTTTTGATATTTTTATACTACGTAAATATATGTAGGCATATTTTTGAAAAATTGTCCTTCATTTTGAATCCATATTTATGGTAATTATATGGGCAATCAGTGGCCCCAAAAACCGCTAGTAACAAATTTCGAGTGAATCCAATAATTTTTCAAAACTTTGTCCGCCATATTTCAAAAAACGCCAGTCATCATTTAAAAGTTAATATTTTAACGTATTTTTAAGACTGAACCAATTTCGGAGAGCGGGAGGCTTCAGCTGACGAAGAATGTCTTAGGTATATGGAAATTGAAGCAAATTTTGAAACAAAATATTCTTAAAATTTAGTGGGCATAAAAGGGTTACAATTTGGGACCTTGCGGAATTTTTATTTATAATTTTTATTTATTTTTTTTTTATTCTTGACTATCGATTTTTTGAAATTTTTAAAATTTTCCGTTCATGTTTCGAAAGTTTTCAATAATGACTTTAGTAAGCGTTTTGCTTTTACTACGAATGGAAATAATGTTAGCAAATAGAAAAATGTGGTTGAAGGACTTGCCACTTAGCAAAAATATAGAAATGTTAAAAACAAATTTTTGCGATCAGAAAAGATGTGAAACAACGTTCAAAAATGATGCAAAAAATTTCAAGTAAAACATTTTTAGCCATGAAAACTAATAGATTTGTTTATTTCCCTGGCCAACAAATGTTATTTTTCGCGTTTTGTTGAACCACTTATCACCATTATAAACCATTCTTAGTCTCTGCGCCATTTGTTTTTTGTTTTTTTGTTTCAAAGTTCATATGATTCCTACAAAACTCTTACCTGATTTGGCCGCAAGCTTTCCTTTTCTGTAATATGATTTTTCAGTTCGACAGGCATGTGGTCTGGCAGAGATTTCGAAGAGTTGTACAGAGCCGGTTCCCAGTTATAAATCTGCAAAATTAAGAGAGGGAGAGAAAAAAAAGCAAACGTTTAAAAACCCACTAAATTTTTAATTAATAGTGGCAACATTTTACCTTGTTCAACTTGAGGAATATGCATGGCCTGGCCTGATGATAACCGAAATTGTTCTCCTTTGTGCATGGAGCAAAAGCATTTGGATCAAAAGCGCATACCTTGCCCTGTGTTGGTGGATTTTCAAATGAACAATTCATTTGATTATGCTTGGGTAGATTTTCATAGGCTGTGAGTGGGCAGACAAAGGCAGTATTTAGATTAGTACAAAAGTTAGAAGAAATAGAAGAAAATAGGCGCCTACGAATTAGCAAAGGATAATAGCTGTTAAAATACATAAATTTACTACTTTCAGGGTGGAAATAAATTTTTACATCCTTACTTGAAACTAATATTGGCACTAATTTTGCCAAGATTTTTAAATTCTGGCTTTTAAATTCAGTTTTTAGCTAGCAATACAGGCGCAAAATCTAGCGAAACTATTTCGTTGCAAAGTATTAAGTAGCCAGCTGCGGCCTAGCCATTCTTAGTGGGTAGATTTTGAGATATTTTTAATTGTGTATTCTTTTTTTTAAGTTTTTTTTTTTTCTACTACATACACTTACTTTTAGGCACCGCTAAATATTATGCCAGATTCACCATTAGGACCACATAAATATAAATCAAAAATGTTTAATATTAAATAAAAGTAAATAATAGTGAGTTCTTCATTAAATTAAAAACAAAAAAACAAACTGGCTGCACTTAATTGCATATCCTTAACTTAATGTAGAATGTAGTATGTAGAATAGCCCTATCTAACATTTTTGTTTCTTTACGGAGTGCTGAAAAAACTCGATAGAAAATTAAGTCCTTTGGCTGTATTTCTTGTAAAGGTTGTTTTTATGAAAGAGTGTAACAAATTTTGTGCTGTAGCTATGATTTTTAAATCTCAACATGTTTTTTAGTGAGTAATTGGCAGACTTTTGTACAATACTGAATTTGAAAAGAAAATGAGTTAGGGCCTTTTTATGTAAATTAAGGTAACGGTATGTTAATTAGTTTGAAACAAGTTAGGGTAGGGCTGTCTTCGGTTTCATACTGTTTATGAGAATAACGTTTAAAATTTAACATTAATCTATGATTTCATTAACTACTTAAAACGAATAAAAAGAAAAAATAAACGAAAATTTAATTGTAAAAAGAAATAAAATGAAAATGAAGCAAAATAAATAAAAATCATCTTTAACAATTAAATGAAGTTAAAACTCAATTTTTGCTTCTTAAATTAATAAAATCTAAATATTAAAATCAAAAGAGAAGAAAATATTGTTTAAAAATTAAATATTAAAAAAAGTATTTTTTATTTCTAAAACCAAATCTAGGAACTAAAAGAAAATTAAATGAATAAATAGAAGAAATAAAATAAGAACCTAAAATTAATGAAATAAAAATATATATATTTTTTCTTTTTGAAACAGTAAAATGTAAAAAATTAAAAGCAAATGACGTTAACGAAAGAAATGTAAACTAAACTAAAAAAAGAAAAAAATAATTTAATTAATCTTCTAAAGTTAAATGAAATTAAACAAAAAAATGGTTTCTTCTTCAAACAATAAGATCTAAAAATGAAAAGAAAACTAAACATAAAACGAAAAAAATGTAGTTGAAAAAAATTTAAAATAAAAATTAAATTAAGTTGAAAACAAAACTTTTTCTTTAAACAATAACATCTAAACAATACAAGGAAATAAAATTGAGAAGGAAGAAAATACATATAACAGAATACATATAATCAAATGAAATCCAAAATATAATTTTTCTTTTTAAAACAATAAAATATAAATAATAAAAAAAAAAATTAAAAAAGAAAAAATTTAAACAAGAAAACAAAAAAAAACATAATACGCTGCGTGATTCTCGGACTCACATCTTAAGAATGGCACGTCTGTGCTTTGCTCACTCAGCCATTGCGACTATCGGGGCGACGCCTTGCCAAAGGATATACAGGTGCTTTTTCTCAAAAAAACTTTTCACCACAATTGTTGAATGAGAGAGGTTTTATTCTAAGACTTTTGTGCTAGAATAACAAAAATCTTTCGAATTACCCATCTGTCTTACATTTGTATTTTTATTACCTTTGCCAAAATTGCCCAGTAAATGATATCACAAAATCACTTATCGATCTTCATCTTTCTATCGGCTTTAGTTGTGCAAATCTCAAAATTCAAAATAAAATCTCATATCACAACAATCACTTAGGCGAAAGCTACAAATAATTATGCAAAAAAAAGTTGCCGTTTTTCCACTGGGATTATAAAATTTATATTTAAAAAATATAAAAAATATGTAAAAATATTAAGATCTCAATTTGATTATTTTGATTCCGTTGCAAAGATTTTAAAACATTTTTACGCAGACTTTACGCAGAAAAAACTTAAACTCATCCATCATTTTTTGGGAGAAATATTTTTGAAAACTACTTTTATTTAAAAAACAAAACTCGGTTTGAAAATACCACCAAAAATTGAGCTCAAGTAGATATCAATATTTTTATGAAATATTTTGGCGGAGGCCTAAAAAAATAATAGATTTTTTAGTTTCGATGGAAAACAGTATCGATTCTATTTTTTTTTTTTTGTTTTTTTTTGTATAGTGAGTGATGCATCCGAATGTACACATATGTTGTGGTGTTCCGGATCTGGTCAGTACCGACAAATGGTTAACACCTTATAAAAAAAAAGCAAACATTTTCTAGCCTTTGACGCAGATGACGACACATTCTAACAGAGAAGTTAACAAATAGACACAGCTATTTTTTAATTCCAAAACATCGACACACAAATTCAAGAATATTGATTGTCCGTTGTTTGTTCAACACATTTAGTGCTTCACATTGAGTTAAATATAAATTTTACTTATACTCACATTGAAGGAATGTTGCAGTTTCATCAACCCAGTATTTATAATTTTCGGGTCTCGATTTCTCATACCAGATTAAAGTACTCTCAACATTTGCCTCTGGGGGCATTGGTCGAAAGCCGAGACCTGTAAGCAAAGAAAATAGCAAGTTTTTAATAACCCAGTAATATACAAGTAGACTTTGTAATTAATTCACTAAGACTTCAAAGGAAACCCGATTATACGAATTAAATTTTAATTCAATTGAGCGTAGTTTCAACAGAAAAAAAATCTAGTCATGTTACGTATACGCCCCACACACCAGCACATTGAGTAAATAAAAGCGCCCGCACAAAAACAATTAATAGCAGGCAACAAATTAGAATCATCAATTTATATGATTAAAGCAAAGTCAATTACAAAGCAGCGATAAATTTCAGAAGGCGCATAAATTATATCCATCCTTGTACTTAAAGTCACTTACATATAAATAAATGCAAGCGGTGGCCGAGTACTTCAATCGCCACCGCCATTCTTACATATTTAGGAACCTAATAAAGATTCAATATACGCGGCCAAATATTGCAAGAGAACACGCGCTTGCCACATGCTGTGGCAGTAAGAAAAAACTAAGTAGCGGCTAAATGAAATTGCTGCCGCTAAAATTGAAAAGAACACGCGCCAATGCTTATTCAGTTAAGCATACGACGTGTTGACCTATAGCAAAATTCTATATGAGAATTACGATTTATTTTGGCTTTTACATATGTATGTACTTATATCCGTATCTGTGTATGTGCATGAATTTAAATAATCAAAAGCCAAAAGCAGCGGAACAAACATATTTTAGATTCTAGATGCAGCAGGGGGTGCTTGACATTACATACATAAATTAAATGCGTCAAATAATACTTATGTATGTATATAATATTATTTTTGCTGGGATATTTTATTGACATGTGAATTACGGAAATTAAAAATACATATGGCTCAGTCCCTGTCAGTCCCATAGCTGCCAAATGAAAAAAGTTACAAGTTCTTTTCGAAAGTTATGCAAAGCTCTAAATATGAAAATTTCGGAAGTTTATTTTTTGAATATGTCAAAAACTGTTCTACGTGGTTACAAAATTGATGAATGGCCTGAAATTAACAAAATCGTAAAACCTAAAACTTAAAAAATTATTTTTGGCAAATTTTTTATACAAAATTTCCAACTGATCTTAAAAGATCTTTAAATTTTCGAGCAGGTGTGTTTAAAAGATATAAACTTTCGAACTATGAAAAAAAATGTATACAAACCCTCAATAAAGTTGCGTTACATTGTTTCATTTAATTTAAATTAATTATTTATTTCGAGTTTGCAAACTTTTTTTTATTTCAAAAATTCATAGCAACAAAATACCTTTTTGAAAATTTTAGGATCTTTTAAAATCAGTTAGTGGTATTGTGTAAAAAAAGTGACTCAAGAGTTTATGAGTTTCTGAGGCTATAATTTTCTAGTCGGCCTGGTTCATGGGATAGCGTTTACCCATTCCCAAGGCAGTCGGCTCTACATGCTCGAATTTTACCCGGAAAATGAAGGTTAAGATCGGTGAAAACCATTAAGTGTGAAATTTTCACAGTTTTTTCGTTTTACTTGCAATCCAAAATTTCTCGAACTTATTTTGCCTTACTGATTTCTAAATTAAAGCTATGTATATATATTTTTAGCAGTCCAGCTGTAACGACTCCAGCAACTTGATTCTCTCAATATCTTCTCCTTTCGTTGTCGTTATTGATCAGTTATGTTTTTGCTGTGGAAGGTGTAGCGTGGGCGGAGAAATGCTGATGGTGATGTAAAAATTACCACTCCTCAACGTTTATGCAACTTTTTCTTTCAAGGAAGGTTGACATGTATTTTTTACAGTTACATTTTTTTTTAATATGATTTCTAGTATTTCTTTTAATATATATAGTTTTTGCTGTGAAAAGATGCCCCCTAAGCTTTCGATTAATTTTTATTTTACACTTTTTTTATAAGTTTACTATGTGATGTTTTCGTTCTTGTGAATGATAAAAGCCTTGTGAAATAAAGTGGGACTTTTGTTGATTTTAAAAGAAAAAATAATATTTTGTATTTACTTTAACTTAAAAATCTAGTAGCTTAGTTTAAAAGAAAAAATTATTATAAAATGGCCAATTTGTATTCAAATTTCTAACTAAAATTTACCACCACGTCACAGACTACGTCCAGAAAATTCACCTCCATAGTTAAAGATTAGTATCTATAATTCTTTAGAACATAAATATATATTTCCATCTTTAAATATGCTTCGATGACTCACTCACCTGGATTCGAACCAATTAACCCATCGTTCATTGTCCACTTGGGTTTATCCACCTGAAGTGTTTGATAAAACACAGCCAACATGGCAGCGAAGAATCCAGTTAACGCCGCATAAAAAATAATGTAGAAAAATAAAATTTTTGCTGCAATGAAAAGAATATGAAAAAGGAAATTAGTTTAAGTTTTCAACTCACTTTAATTAGCTCTACAATTTCATAGTAATATAAAATGATATAATTTATAATACTTAACGTCAAATTACAATTCATATAAGCATATGTACATATATATTCTAACTAAAAATAATTTATGCTAATTGGTGTATAAATAGTGCCATTTCAAAAGTTCATAAAAGTTAATATTTGGTTATAGACATTTACGATTTTTTTGCCACCTACTCAATTATGGAAGCAAGATTCGAAAAAGTCACTAGTTTCACATACTGTTCCATTTAATGGTAACCAACTCTGTCAAGTACTTATTTGTAATACTGAGTATGCTTAATACCGGGGACAGACATCTGGTATTTCTTCGAGGTATTTCCAAAATACCATATATGTATCTGTCACCAAATATTATATATTCTTCAAAATACTACGTGAGCAACCTAGTATTTTTTGTAGAAAGAATACAACTTTCCGAAGGTTGTAATTTTGTGGTATTCTAATTGTGAATGGGAATTTCGCACTGAACATACCTAGAAATGACAGCTGCTCATTTATCAAAGAATCATTGAAATTTTCGCGCGATCTAAACCAAAAACTTATATCGCAAATTTTGATGCAATTTATAAGCAATTTTTGCATTATTTTTACATTTTTATGTTTATGTGTTGTTCTTTAGAAACGTTTGATTTGACACTGAAATACGAAGTTAATGCCTGTAACTATGGTAGTATTTTAAATACCACAATAAGTTTACCAGAATGCAAATACCACATGTATGTCCCCGGTATAACATAGCGAAAGTCCTGATATTTTAGAATTTTTTTATATAGGTCCATAATCGAGATTTTTTATATCTTTCATGAGCATAAAATGGTATTATAACTTTGGTCCGATGTTTGTAAGTACCAGAATAAGAAGAGATAGACCGATTAAAATGTATACTTAAATGATCAGAACGTCGAGCTGAGTCGATTTAGCCATGTCCGTCTGTCCGTCTGTCCGTCCGTCCGTCTGTCTGTCTGTCTGTCTGTCCGTCTGTTTGTATGCAATCTAGTCTCTCAGTTTTCGAGATATCCGGATGAAATTTGGTAGTTGAGTGTATTTTTATTATGTATTAAGCATTTATCGGAACCGGAAGAACCGCATCACTATAACATATAGCTCCCATACAACTGATTGTTCAGATATGAGATTTTTCGTTATAACTTCTCCATTTATGCAGCTAAGAACATGAAATTTTGCAATACTTCCACCCATTATCAACAGAAAACCTAGAGTGAAAATTACAAAGATCGGGTCACTATAACCTATAGCCTCCATACAACTGATTGTTCAGATTCGAGAGTCTTTGTTATAACTACTCCATATATGCGGCTAGAAACATGAAATTTCTCAATATTTTCATTATTTACCAACAGAAAGTTTACAGTAAAATAAACAAAGATCGGGTCACTATAACCTATTTATATCTTCCATACAACTGATTATTCAGATATGTGGTTCTACTGTAAAACTCCTTTATTTGGACTGCTAAAACTGATAAATTTCGTAAGCTATTCTATAAATAATAATACGAAGTCTACTGAGAAAATCGTCAAAATCTGTGCTGTATAAGCTTTAGCTCTTATCTAAACCCATTAAATTGTGTTTCCGGTTTACATACCGATCACACAGCAGTGAAAATCACTTAGATTGGTGCTCTCTGATTATTTAGATATGGTTTTTTTTCATATATGTATCTCCTCTATCTATGTATTTTGTAAATATTTAAATTTTTTCAATTGCAGTAACCTACGAAAGTAAAATTTTCAGATGTTCATGAAAGGTACGAAGCAAGGCGTATTTAACAGGTGATAGCAGCACCCTTTTATTTTCCTTCGCCTCACGGCTTCGTATGTCAAATGGCTGCTGTTGATTGGTTGGAGCAGTTGATTGTTTATTGTTTTTCGTTTTCTTTCACATCATTCCTATGCAATTTTTGACAGTCCTGCGAGTGATGACGTCAAGATAGCAACGAATAGGAAAGAGTAATTTTGGAGATGGAGGAGAGAAAGAGTGTTAACTGTCAAACCATGGAGGTCGCCATATTTACATACATATAAACATCTCTGCATACATACAAACAGTTTGCTAAAATGACGTCATACGAACAACTGATTCTGTCAAATTCGCCAAGAACAAAGTAGCGGTACTGCTGATTGCGCCACCTCTGTCTGCCTGCATTTTGTTGTTGGCGTACCGATACCACCTTATTGAATACGCCTTGGTACGAAGGCTTCGGCATAGCCGAAGACAGCGCTGCTCTTACTTGTTTTTTTTTTTTATAAAAAATGGTAAAAATGCCGCTTCCGTTATTTTCGCGGTTAGTGCTCGATGAATGTAAATATTAAATCATTAAAAAGTCCGGGCGAATTGCGATAATATTCCGAAAACATGAAAAAAAACTCGAGTACCGAAAATTCATAAAAAAAGCAAAAGTTGCGAAGATGTCCAAAAAAAATCCAATAACTTTAAAAAAATCCCAAAATCCGAAAGAGTGCAGACAAATCCTGGAAAAGTTCCGGAGGCATTTTTTGTCAAAGTCATCAGTTCTGAAACGTTTCTTCGAATTTCGAAAATTGAATGTGAAATTAGAGAGTGGGGCCTATAGAAGTGAGATAAAGTTTTATATTCTGAAGTTGGAAACTGAACCATGCAAGACTTCAGTCCACTCAGCAACGGCTGGACGGATTTAGTTGAAATTTGGTATGCGGGCCGCTTATAACTGTTACTCACATTAAGAATATATTTCAGGTTTTTGAAGAGGATTTTCATCTTTTTAAAATGTTAAATTCAATTTCAAATATGGGCAATAAAGAAGTTTAACTTCGCCGCGTCTGGGACTCGCATACAATTTCTTTCTTTTTTACAATTATGACTCTTTTTATGTTTTCATTATTTTTATACTGTTTTGCAATTGAGAGTAATAGTACCTTTTTCCTTTATTTGTGCTTTTCTTTAGTTTTTTTTAAAGCTTATATCTATTATAACATATTTATCTATATGTGGCTGTTTACTACTGTTAACTGTTATTTGAAAAACCAATTTTAGAGTAATTGCCAGTTGACTTTACTGCCATGTTTTATTTACCGCCCTCCAATTGCACTGAGGCCTCCTTGCCTGCGCACGATTACACGTCTAGCGTTTCCACTTCGTCCACTATTTCCACCAACACTTACACCATTTCGAAGGCGTCCATTTCCATTTCCAAGGCGGCTATTTCCATTTGCAATGCGATTATTTCGTCCACTATTTCCACCAACACTTACACCGTTTCGAAGGCGGCTATTTCCTACGCTGTTTGCAAGCGCTTGCCTGCGTACAACTACACGTCTACTAAGTCCATTTCCATTTCCATTTCCAATTCGTAACTGGTAGGACAATGACACAAAGGCCAATAGCGAGAACAGCATTAAAAGACGCATCCTGATTCTTTATTTATTTGATGAAAGTTTATTATAAAGATGGTCCAGCGCAACTATGTACTCAGACTCAGTGTAAGCACAGTTCTGCTGAAATTGCGCAAATGTGGAACTTTTATAGTGGAACATTTATTTACCTTTTCAAATGTGGACCACGTAATACTTTTTAGGTAAATAAAATGTGACAGTGTTTGTATGTATTGTAAATTGAAGTTTATTACATAAAGTTGAGCAAATTTTTAGGTGCAGATGTTTTTTTTTTTGTTCGTAAAATATTTTTGTGTACTTCCCTATGTTGCTTTAAATAAATATTTACTAAGCGACATTTGCGCTTTTACGTAAGCACTGTTTTTAGTCTTTAAGTTACACTTTAAATTACATAACTGTTATAAATAAGTGCATATGCACAAGAAAATTTCGAATATTACTTGGTTTCGGCGAAGATGGGGGTCGCCTTTTTGCATTTTTGGGTCACACCTACATTCGGCAATAAACATTTTTTTTTTTAAATAGTTCCACTGGAATAGTCAAAATACCTCCTTAGCAAAATTTTAATCATTAGGGTGGTTTGGGTCCCACCACGTTAAAACCGCTCCCAATGAAAATCAAAAATATGCCTCGGATGAGATACCCTTCTATGATTTGAGGGTATGCTCCCAGAATACTCGGACTCTTGATGAGGTAGATGTCTCTGCCCAGCTGGCTTATACGGACAAAACCTGACATCACCACCATCCAAAAAAAATGCGATGCCCGGGGCAAGGCAAGGAAAACGTGGTGCTGTCACGCAAATTGGGTATTGGACTTGGGTGGTGGGAGGGAGACTCCGTCGCCAAGTACTGTCATTCATCCCAGTGTACGAACGTTTAGGTACAATCCACATCAAAGAGAGATTCTTCCGCATCTCTCTGAGCATGCAACGTCGGAGGAGAATGGAGAGAATTCAGCCTCCACGACGTAATGTCAGAAGGCATTTTTAGACGTACATACATACGTACACTTCGAGGTCCAAAAGTCGACTCGGACACTATCTTGTTGCAGCCAAGATACGCATTCGCCTCTGTGCAGCAAAAAATATGCGCCCACAATTTCAAGGCTAATTTATTCGCTACTCGACTCTCACACCTAATCTCTGATAGCACTCTTCAACAAACATTTAACGCAAATGAAGTACCTCCGCCTAAGTAGTAGAAAAACTGAGTGAAAAAAATGTCGCCTACAGGGTCACGCAGCGATCCGCCGCAACGCGAGCTACATATGTGGGACCAGTATAGAGAACTGAAGAGGGAAGCCACGATTGAGAGGGAAGCGATACGTATTTTCTGTAATAAGGAGAGGAAGGCCGAAACACGTGAGTACGAAGATCTAGAAAGCTGGCTGGGAGGAAAACACCTGAAAATTGTATCAGAGAGGTAGTCGACTTGTGGAAGGTTTCAAGACCAGGGCGAACTCCTTTAAGAACAACCTTAGTGTCCTAGTGAGCGATATCCAGAACGGACTTAACTTATGG